GGGCTCCTTTCCTGCTTCAAAAACATGTTGACAATTGTTCATGCAGCCATTCTGTGTGTTCCCCCCACCCCACCCCCTACCCCCGGTGTGCCCCTCCCTTTCCCCATTAAACACAGCCCAGGAACATACTAAGCTACCTCACCATTGTTTGCTTAGATGGCCTGGTGCTGGGTGGGCAAGCCCCTCAAAGGATATTAAGCCTCCAAAAAACATCCCTGCAATTTCCTTTCCCTGCTTTCCCACCCCCTTTTGTGACTTCTTACATTCCACACAAAGAACACCCCCCTCTCCGCCCCGCTTTCCCTGGGCTGGCCAAGGCCATCTGCTTCCCCCCCCAAACCCAACCCAACCAGATTCCTTGACTTAGGGCAAATCTTTCCCCTCCCCCCCATCTTTATCTACAGACTTGAGAATCCTCTTCCTGGCATTACCAGCTGCATTTTCTTGATCAGCTCATCTAGGATCTATCAGAGATAATATTCAGGGGCTTTTTTTTTCTACTGGGATTATACGCTGTGCTTTGGCATAAGGTGTTCTCTGCAAACCTACCAATTGTGGCTTATAATGGCCTAGGTTATGCAAAGGAAGCTACTATGGCTTGTTCAATAACCCTGGTCAGTAGGTTAATAACAGATGGTCCAGAGCCTTTTTTTCCCCCCAACCTCTATACAACAGTCAAGGATTACACTATTAAATAGTAGGGGCAAATTACAGTACTGAGTAATAAGTTAAGATAAAGGTTCCTCACACACATATGTGCTAGTTGTTCCGGACTCTAGGGGGCGGTGCTCATCTCCGTTTCAAAGCCAAAGAGCCAGCGCTGTCCAAAGACGTCTCCGTGGTCATGTGGCCGGAATGACCAAATGCCAAAGGCGCACGGAATGTTGTTCCCTTCCCACCAAAGGTGGTCCCTATTTTTCTACTTGCATTTTTTTTACATGCTTTCGAACTGCTAGGTTGGCAGAAGCTGGGACAAGTAACGGGAGCTCACCCCATTATGCGGCACTAGGGATTCAAACTGCTGAACTGCCGACCTTTCGATCGACAAGCTCAGCGTCTTAGCCACTGAGCCACCACATCCCTATTACTGAGTAATAGTAACACAATAAAAAGATTAAAAAAAAAATGAAATAGGTATGCTATTTACTTGATCCCACCAATAGAAGTGAAATATCTTAAGATTTCCCTTTCCACATATAGTTCTATTATGACCCTGTAATTCTAAAATGATCATGTGCCATCAAGGCAATGTCAGCTCTTAGCACGTAAGATTTTCTATGAAGCCAATTCTAAAGAATGAGGCCTTTGGCAGCAACAGAAAGAACCGTCCTAATTTAGCATAATATCTGAATGCAGCCCAGGGGTGAAATGCTCCCGGTTCAGACCGGATCGCCCAATCTGGTAGCGATGGCGGCGGGTGGTTTGGAGAACCGGTAGCAAAAATCCCTGCCCCCTCCCCACGCCCAGCTGAGCCGCGCGATCATCAGAGGGTTTTTTTTTTCTTTTAAAAGCATTTTTTCTACAACCTCTTCGGCCGAAAAAATGCTTTTAAAAGTTAAAAAAAAAATAGCCTCTGATGATTGCGCGGCTCAGCTGGGATCGTCAGAGCCTTTTAAAAGCATTTTTTCCTGCAACCTCTTCGGCCGAAGAGGTTGTAGGAAAAATGCTTTTAAAAGTTTTTTTAAAAAAACTTGGCCACGCCCACCCAGTCACATTACACCCCACCAAGCCACGCCCACAGAATCGGTAGTAACAAATTTTACATTTCACCACTGATGCAGCCCAATGGAGACTCTCTCTAAAAGGCCATCTTTTGCAATGGACCATTAAAGTACTTTCTAACGGAAGATGGGGAAGTAATTTTGCTTTAAAGATGCTCAGTTCCAACAGCTGTTCAGCCCAGTCACGTTCTCTCTTCTTCCACTGCCTTCTCTGCTCTTGACCCAATTCTCTCGAGTCCCATCGGGTTCAAAGGCAAACAAGTTTAAGGAGTCCTATCACTTTACATGTTCTTAACACTAATAAGAATAATAACAGGTTTCGGTAATTGGAATACGCATGTAGGCTGTACTCATGACAACAACTAAGCAATGGTGATGAAACAAGGAAGGGAAACCCAGTGAAACCCCCAGGTTTGCTTCAGGCACACCCTTACAATAGTGAACTACAACAAGGTGTTTTTCAACTCCCATTATCCCCTGCAAACGAAGTCTTTGGGCTCTACTGTCTAGCAATTCTGGGATCTAGCACAGCTGCAGGGCATCACGCGAGAGCAGTGATGGTGAACCTTTTAAACACCAAGTGCCCAAACTGTGCATGCATGCCCAAATGGAAAGGTGCACACGCGCATGTACGGATATGCGTATACACAGACATGTGCATGCATGCACGTGTGCGCAGCAGGGACCCGAAGACTGGCGGGAGGCGGGGCATCCCAACACCAGCAGCACAGCAAGAAGTAAGTTCTTTTTCTTTTGTGAACTTCTGTTTCGTCATTTGTAAGGAAACAGAAGCTCACGAAAGAAACGCCACGGAGATCTGACCTGGGGCGACGGCGCACATGCCAGCAGAGAGGGCTCAGCGTGCCACCATCACGGCGCTAGAGAATATTCTTGCATTCCAATAATGGGACTTCCTTTACCATTGGCATTCAACTGAGAGCCAATTTTCCCTCCAACTATCTAGGTATGTCTATTTATATTTAACTTGGGGGGGGGAAATCAGAACTATACTTAGCATTAACATTTAAAATTCAGTTTTCCAGATCTGTGAGCAAAGAGCCCCTGTGTCTGTCTGTCTGTCTGCCTCCCTCTCTCTCTCTCTCTCAACTTCTGTATCCCCTCTGTCTCACATGCCCAAGGGGCCCCCATCTTCCAATTAGTGCTGGAGCCAGCTGCAAGCCATTGCTGGCATTTATATTTTCAAAGGCAGGGGGACCATTATGTCTTCTAGCATGCCTTGCTGCAACCAGAGACCTTTTTAAGATTAGGCCCAAACCTAATTTAATTAAGTCTGCAAAATGCTTCCTGTATCCCTTATCCCAAAGACTGTAACAAGCTGCAGACGAGGATTCCTTCCACTGGCCCTGCCATCTCCAATCGTCTCCTTCCTTTAACATGAAGCCCGAAAACGGCTCATTATTTCTGGTCATGAAAACTTGCTCATTATTTCTGCAATCTTTCAAAGGAAACATTCTCCAACTTGCTGCTCTCCAAAACATCTTAGATTACCACCTGGCAATCTCGCCCTTCAATTAAAAAAAAAAAAGTCTTATTTGCTGTTTGAATCAAAATGCCTACTTTCCAAAGGCTTTCACAATGTTCATTCCTTGTTCCTTTCCAAAAGTTCTCCAAGTGCACCATTTAGCAGTTATATGTAGGATGCCGTGTGAAGAACCTTCTGAAGCTATGTGTACATCTAGTGGTTTCAAGAACTTAATGCTTCCCAGTTTTGAAAATTGCTATTGGGAAGAAACAACAGATTACAGTAATAGCTGCTTTTAAATCTATAAAAATCTATAAAATCAAATCTGTAAAAAATGTAGAATGAGGGAATACTGTTATCTTAATTGTTTCCACCAACAGAACCTCACACTTGAGTGTACTTTCTTCTCTGTTCACTAATTTGAGGAGCTCTTTGAATTCTTCCAAAACAATAAATTGGTAATTAGATGGTATGATGAAGCTGCATTATTTTCATTTCAGAAAATAACAAAATTGACAGACAAAATTTGTTTCATGGTAAAAAATCCAGATTTTGGCTTGAAATTTAAGTGGAACGTAACTGACTGGGACACCAGAGTAATTACAGAATGTAATTATAGAATTTGCACAGAATGCAAGTCTTTATTTATACAACTATTCATCTACGGATAGTTTTAAATTAGTGGCCCAGACATTCTTCCTGCCAACGGCAAAAATCCCAGGATCCGTGTGGTAACGATTCTCTACAATTCTGAGCAGTTTGTTTCTAAAAATCCCATAATTCCTCACCAGATGAGTATGATCATTAATATAGTCTCACTGTATTGATAAAGAAAAAGACCACTGTCTGCACATATGCAAGAGAGGGGCCATTCAGACAACTAAGCTAGGCCATTTAAATCAGGTTTGCTTTATGCACCTAGAAAATGCAAGTAAGCCAAAGTGCAAAACTGGCCTTTTTCTAGTCACACCATCTAAATTTTGATTTTTTTTTTCCTCACTGATTATACCCGCCCCCCCACTCCCTTGCAGGCCTAAGAAAAGGGAGAAACAGGGGCAAAAGGAATGCTAAACCAGGGGTCCCCTACCTGTGGGCCATAAGGGGTTTGCAACTGGGCTGTGGAAACAGCCGGTGAGCGTGTGTGTAATGCCGCTTGTGCAAATGGAGCTGTGCACATTTGTCAGCCACTTGTGCAAACATCCTCCCCAACCTGGTACCCAAAGCCAGAAATGTTGGGGAACTCTGCACTAAGCATTTCCTATTGTACCCATAGCAACTCTGATTGTAACTGAGCCGCAGAAACCCAAAAAAATGAAATAAAAATACAAAATCCCTCTACGTTTACCAGCCATTACATATACGTTAAAGATGCCAGCCAACAGGGCTGCTCCTGGAATAACTGGGCCCCACCTTGGTTTTCTCAATAATCTGGTCCTGGCTTACTCATCAGTTACTCACCATGGTTCAGAGGAGACTGGGTCAAGTATCAAGCACAAATTTGTTCATCTATCCATCTGTGGTCAATTTACTGTTCTTTTAATCCAAGTATTTTAACTAGCAGCATCAAGAAAATGGAGGCCATTCCCATCTCTTATATCTGATCTTTGAAAATTGGGAATCTGGGATTCGGGGAGCCTTCTACATGCAAAGCTACTTTCCTTCCTCAATTCTGGAAGAATCATTCAATTATGGACTGGTGGGAATCTGCCCCGCTCCTCTTCTCTCTGCCTCTGAACTTGGCAAGAGCCCTAAAAGATCATCTGTAGCATGCGCCATAGTTAGGAAAGGAAGCTCACCTCGTTTCTGCATAAAACTGAAGAGGTCATCGAGGAATTCTTTCCTTTTCGGATCTCCATCAAGTTCATATAACTGCAGAGAGAGAGAGAGAGGGAGGGAGGGAGAAAATAAAGAAAACAAATCAGGAGACAAAAATAAAATTGCTTCAGACACTTTTCTCCAACTTCTCCAACATTTCTTGTATTATGTACACAACTAGCCTATTGAAGCTAGCACATAAACAGGGCACCCAAGGGTAAATCTGTGGTTAAAAGCAGTTGTTACAATGCTGTGGGAATGTAAACTAATCACAGATCTGATTCTTCTTAAAATTATTCTTTATGGATAATAACCCTGTTAAGTTTCTAGGTTTTTGTGTGCATGTACAGAGGGACAGAGGTTTTTTTTTTTAAAAAAAATAAAGCCTAAACTCCCTGGGCTTGGTTCAGAGGTTGCAGCAATTTAGCTAAGCCTCAACTCCTACTCAACTCCTTTTTCTAATGAGACATTCTGCAGCTATTACAAACTGCAAGATCAGCAATTTGCAACGGCATGAGCAATGGAGTCACCAGGATAACAGCAGACAAACACGCACGAGGCACCCAGCTAATTTTCTAACCACCGTCTCATCTGCTTTCTAGGACCTCCTCCTCCTCCTACCAACTGGCAAAGAAAAATCTGCTTTCTTTCAAGGGACAGCCAAGCGACAGAATAAACTCCTATTGTGCCTGCCGTTTGGTCCATTCTGGATTTCTTGCTTACCTAATTCTGTGAGCAGAGATTACCCATGAGGCCACATATATTTTAAAAGTTAGACATTCCAACAAATAAAAGGCACCCTTCCCCCACTTGGCCAATTAATTACAGAGTAGTTTTTTTTAATTGTTTGATCAAAACTATTGCAAATTAATGGAAATGCCAGTCTAAGTCAAGCTTTTAAGTTAAGAAATGGAAAGAGCTGCAAAGGTTTTGGAATAAACAATATTGTGTCCATGAATATTTCTTCTCTTTTATTTACTATGGAAGAAGGCGACAATGTGATTGTCTTGTAGGCAATAAGATACTTGCAACATTCCTAGATGGCATCTATGACATGCCGAAATCAAAGTTTTTTTTTAATATGTTGAAATGCTTTATGGGATTGCCAATTCTCACAAAATTTCAATGTTGAAATTGAGATTGCATGAGAATCATGCAAGACTTCAGTAATCACCTAGGATGATATGACTGAAATAGCAATACTTTCATTTTTTAAAAATTATTTAAACATTCGTTTTGGCCTTCAGTAAAGAAAAGTTTGCAATTCCTTTGGTATACCATAATAATACTCAATACCCATGTCCCTTTAAAAATCAGGACATGCAAAATAACTTATGGTAGCACATCTTGGAACAAACCAACCTTCTCTAAAACATGAGCAGGAAAATGCCTTTTCAGCAACCAACCGTAAAAAAAGTTTTCATTTGTATGCAGATTTATGCACATTTCCTCTGAACTCATGTCATGTACAGATAATTTCTTAAAGTCCCAGCAAAAATTCACCAAGGTCAATTGGAAGGAAATGTAGATATGTAAGATCTGAATGAGCTCAATGAGATCATCTCTATCCTCTGTCTCTTAATCCCATCACTAGTTCCTAAAAATTGCAAACCAAAACGAATCAAAACCCAAATTATTGCTTCTCCACTTTGGATGGGGGTTGGGAGCCATAAAAGGGAAAGTGGTGGGTCTACAAAACTTTCACTCCCCACTTTTTGCATTCCTGGTCTATATTTTCCAAAGGTCTCATTTATAATCCTGCCTTCTCCCTAATTATCTAAAATGCTAAATATTAAACAGCTGGGGAAAATGTGAGATGTGAACATGATGAGGAAGACAAGATGTGGAAGCCAGATTTAACGTTTTTAAGCATTTTCTTCCCAATTCAAAATTTTCTGGAAAACTCACAACATAGGAAGGACAAATAAAAAGAAGGCATGTCTCGTTTGCTTCTGCGTGCGCGAGCAATGAAAAACTTGGAATTTTAAGCTGAACTGAATACATGGGAGGCAATGTCATACAGCTAAAGAAATAAACACAATCTGTTTTACTACCCCACGGATTAATTCCATCTGCTTACATTAAGAGTGTTGGAATTTTGCATCACTGCAGGAACGGAGCACAAACAAAACAAAAAGTTCGCTTGCATCTTTAATAGTTTTCAAACGGAATGTGAAATTGAGAAAGGAAAAAAACCCCGGACCACCTGCTAGCCAGAAAAACATGTGTTCCATTATGCACCAACTAAATTGGAGCACACTTTTCCTTTGCGTAAGCTGAGCGAGCAACTGCTTTGTCATCGGTATATCATATAGATCCTTTGGTGCAACAATTCCCTTTGCATGCAGGAACAGCTCTGCCCCTGATGTGTAAAACATGTGTGCCCCACTGTTCTCAATTCCCAACTATTAATAGCCTTCAATCAGCAAGAATGTTCCTTGCTGGACCAGCTGCTGAGCTTGGATGGCCTCAGCTTGTCCTCATCACGTCACCCCACATAAATTTTGACACTGCACATGATTACAGGCCTTCAATAGATCCAATCTGTAGGACCCACCTTGTCTGAAAAATTTAACAAGATAATTTTACCAGAATCTATCAATGGAAAGATTCTGGGAGATGTGGAGAATGACAGTGAAAATATATTATAGTTGAACCAGTTCCAAAATAGAATAAGTTTCTAAATTAATAACAGCACTGATAAAACAGATTGATTAAGCAAATAAATCAACAGATAGCAGAAAAGTCATGTACCAAGCAAAATGGGAAGTTTCCACCATTGGTAAGCACATATCAACAACAGCTAAAATGACTAATACACACTAAATTATGGAAGTGAGATTTCCACAACTTGAATGCAAACATTTAGAACATTTAAAATGGAAATATCTCCCTTCCCTATCAATCCAGATCTTCTGAACGGGATGAACGGAAAGCCTCTGTACTTTCCTGAGACAAACCAGGGCCTACATTTGTCAGGCTCTTGATACTGTCCATTTAGGGCTTAAAAGAATAAACCATTAGCAATCAGAATTGTGCCTCGCAGCCCAGCGCTCTTTAACATAAATTCCTGCAGATACTCTAAATGATAAATCCCATTAAAACTAAGTCAACTGGGATTTGCACACCTTCCAACAAAATATAGGTGCTCAAACATTCCAAAGAGAAGGCATTATATTTCCAGAATTAGTTTATCTGAGATCAGATTGGAATTATTTCTCTAGGAGATTCCTCTGGCCATGTTAGCCTGGGATTTGGGAGTTGGCATTCCCAAGTCCAGGAATTCCCAACCTTTAGTATTCAGGCACCTCTTCTGAGCCTAATTTATCTCTGCAATTCCCCTCATAAATTTCTCTAAGCTAGAAAAAAAAGTTACTTTATCATCTGTACTATTTATTATTACAGGTAGTCCTTGAAATTACAACAGTTTGTTTAGTGACCATTCAAAGATATAACGGCACTGAAAAAAGTGACTTATGACCATTTTTCACACTTATGACTGTTGCGGCATCCTCACGGTCGCATGATCAAAATTTGGATGCTTGGCAACTGGCATATATTTATGGTTGCAGTGTCCCAGGATCAACCATGTGTTCAGTTTATGCAATCTTCTGATAAGCAAAGTCAATGGGAAAGCCAGATTCACTTAAATTTGGTATTAATTTATCAACTGCTGTGATTCATTTAACAACTATGGCAAGAAAAGTCATAAAATGAAGCAAAACTCTCTTAAAAATGTCTCACTTAGCAACAGGAATTGGGCTCAGCTGTGGTCGTATGTTTAGGACTACCTATATTCTGAAATCTAAACTGTACCATGAAATGCCTGTGACTCTAGAAATATGGTGTGGCCCCCTTGGGGAATCACAGAGCCATTGCCCTAGTCATCTGGAAAGTGCCAGATTTGAAAACCGTCTAGTCAGATCCACTGAGTCGAATAAACTGGAGGCGAGGGAGGCAAGAGGAGGTGTGGCCAAAACAACTTGACTCAGTGACTGGCCAGACCAACTGGATCATCCCACTCCTGACCCACTCCGCAGCCTACTGGGAGAATGTGTACGGGTGCTGAAGAAACCAGGGCTGAGAAAGGGGTACAAAAGGCCCTTGCTTCCAGTCAATCCTCCACTACACAGGGAAAAGGTAGGTAGCCTAGGAACACTATTTTCCATCCTTAACACTGACATAATAAATTCTTTCCTAAGTTTTATCAGGCTGCAGAAGACAAGCAGAAAAGAGACCGGTCATTTACCCATTCAATCTGGTTAAAAAAAAAAAAAGCTTCATCCTGTTCCTGAATTGGTTTCATTCCAACTTGGTCATTTATAAGAACCATTTCTGGGTATGTTTGTGCGTTCTCTTCCCACTTTTTTTGAGTCGTTGCTTTTCATGAACAAGTGGTGCTCACAAAACAAAAGGAAATCTGTCTGATAGATAAATATCTGCTTAAAAAAAACAACAACCTCACAAACACGTGAAAACACATGACTGATCATCAGGAGAAAAATACACAAATGCCGGCCCTTGATTGCCTGGCAAGCTGACCTTGGAAAGGAGGAAGACAATTGGAGAGGGAAGAAGTGGCATTAAAGACAATCAGAAAAGTCCTCTGTATAAAGGAAGTGTGCATATTTACAGGGAGAAAGTGTACATAGATACCTGTATGATGTGTATGACATGTATGTATGTATGTATGATATGCATGACATGTATGAAAATGGATGATAGCCAGTGTAGTCTAGTACAGGGGTCTCCAACGTTGGCGACTTTAAGACTTGTGGACTTCAACTCCCAGAGCTGAAAAGCTGGCTGAGGAACTTTGGGAGTTGAAGTCCACAAGTCTTAAAGTTGCCAACGTTGGAGATCCCTGATCTAGTAGATCAAGGTACTGGACTAAGAGCAGGCAGACCCAAGTTCTAGCTCCTCTCGACACTCAATTGAATGACTCTGGTATGGATAGTCCTTCTCTCTCCACCCAAGACTCGGAACATGAAGAGAAAAAAAAAATCTACCTATCAACCCTCACTAAATCGGCATTGTAAATTACAGCCCATAAT